CCCTCGATTTCATGAGTTAGCACCAACATGAGCTTTCGCTGTTTATGGCCATGGGGTATGGTCTATGCGTGGTAGCCTCGACATTATTGTCGGAAAAGAGAATGCGAGAGCGAGGGAGAGACAGAAGCACATGCGTGATTCAATTTGGGTATTTGGGGGACCATTTGCGAACAAAAGTTTGTATGGTCCCGGAATGAGATGGAATTGTGCGACGGCTAGGGACGGTTTGTGGGCTTCTCGTACATCCTCTCCTTGTCCTAACTTCATCATTAACTTCTTCTCCCGCCAAGTTTTGCTTACCGGTCGTCTTCGCTGCTCCGATAGCTCATCAGCCAGAACCAGTCCTCAAAACATCCTGATATTCATCATGCCCGCACCGAACTATCAAGGCCGGAACCCTAAGAAAACTCATCGAAATCGAGCGACTATACAGACGTGCATGACATGTGGAGTTATTGCGCGCGAACGAAAGTATGCGAGACGGTTTAAACGAGCCCAAACGCAAGCCCCATCTGCGTATTTACCCGTACAGCGGCGATGATATGATTTTCAAATCATTCTTGTGATGATATTCACCCTAGTCATTCATTTTTATTTTCCTTTGCCAGAATCAACCTAATTGTTCATTAGCATCACCAGAAAATAATCATGTCAATCCCTTATTTTACGCAGTCAACATGCACATGGATGCTGTTGTTGTCTTGATGTCTTCCCCCCTCAAATGTGGCAACTGCACATGGACGTTAGCTAGGTGGTCCAACAGCATCGATCATTAGTTTTTCAGGTTAAATAAATTGCACTTTTGGGGGCTAAAAAAGCTCAATTTGCTCAAGGAACGTGACAATAGATGGTGCGATCTAGCTGGTACTCTTGCCATATTAAGCCTGACTATTAAATGGTGTTGGGACCTACGTTTGTCTCAGAGGACATAAAGGGGCAGGCAAATGGTACGAGGCTCGGCCAGAATGGTTTTGCAAAGTGCGTTATATTGATAATATCGTTCTGTGCTTACACAGAAGTGACAGGTTTTCGCAAGAAACTGTAATTGCAATCCCGAGCAAATCTTTTCACCAAAAAACAGAAAGATGTTATGTTACCATCTTGCATCAGTTTGCCCATTGCGATGATGACCTTCCTCCGACGTTTAACGATTCCTGAGAAGTGGATTATTTCTTAGGAGCGTTAGCTGGTTCACCATAGTTATCGGTCGATAACAACTGTACAGAACCAAACACGTATCATTTTGCCTTTTGCTCATGGAGAGCTCTTTCGACGGCCGTCTCGCAAGGAACGGAGCAACATCTCGAGGGATCTTCGCAATCTTAGTTTTCCCCAAGGATATTAACGGGGGACTGACCGACCATGTGAGATAATTATCAAAACCAACACAGCACGTTCTCGAACTCGACGTACGACCGAGTTTCCCGATAATGCACAAACAGATGTTACACGAGAATGGAGAAGGGGTAGCAAGCCCTAGGCACTAGCGAGAAATAACTGGAGGAGGGTGGGGTGACTTGTATGGTGGGGTCGCGAAAGTTTTGGCTTCGTACACAATCATATGAACGACCGGGAGTTACGCATGTTGGGAAGGGAAACGAGGGTTCTTGTCCCCGCTTGCTCCTTTTGCATGAGCTCTTTGTGTCTTGTCCTGATCTCGTGCGAATCGCGATGTTTTGAACGGGGAACAAGAGACGGTGTATCTCGGCCACTTTCGCTCTTATTTGGGCCATAAGGGGCCGAGCGGTTGGTTGGTTTGCACTAAGATGAGGCCTCGTTAACCATCCTAGCACATCGTGATGGGAATAGGTAGTAAACTGCTCGAATAAAGGTTGGTCCTGTCATGTAATAGTCGGTAAATTTAATTCGTATAAAAGACTGTATATATATATTTTTTCTGTTAGAGATATGAGGAGTTGGTAATTTTAGAGAGACCAAATTAATGTTTGGTAACTTAGTTAAATAAGAGTTTGTAATGCGGAGCTAGCTAGGAACTCTGATCGGCAAGAACTTAGTTATCGCTCTAGCTAAGCTTTATAATTTCTAAAAAGAGTTGGTAAATTCAACGAATGGGTAAGCAAGCCAATTAAAGGTCGGTAACTCAATAGAAAAGTTGGCAAGTTCTTTTAAAAAAAAATGCAAACAGACTCTGGTAGGCAGCTCAAATGAGAGCTAGAAAGCAAAAACTTAGTCAGTAACCTATTCAAAGAAAAGTTGGTAAGTCACTCAAATAAAAATGGGTAATTTTATATAATAGTTGATGAATTTGAAGCGTCAATAATAAAGGTAAAAAAAGTTTGTAAAAAATAAGAGAAACTTTTTTAGCAAAGATAAGAGAAGTTGGTAATTTAAGGAAAAAAAATAAATCTTGATGACTAATTCAAATAAGAGCCGGCAAGCACCTCAAAAGGCTCAAATGGGTGCTGATAAATCCAAAATTCGTTAGTGATTATTTTCAAATAATTTGAAAACTTACACCGAATAGAATGTTCAATGGTATCCCTCACCTTGATTCGCATGATACATTGCCACCGTTGATCTCTTGTTCCCATTAGACAGTTTATCTGAAATCAATTCTTGCAAAAACAATCATACTTTATCACAGTCATTTTTAAATTCTTTGCAAACTAGTTGCACCTTTTGTTTCCCTTGATGTCAGCATGTCGCAAGCCAATACCTGGAGCGGAATGTATTCGGGAATGAGCTTTGCTAGCATCACATTATTTGGGCTACTGTGAGAGTAATAGCATATTACGAGCCACAAATTCTTAAAAGAGTGAACCCCACAACAATTTCTAATTATTATTTTTTTTGGTAAGGTAACAATTTCTAATTATTTGTCATTTGTTTGTTTGTTTTTTTTTGGTTGTCCTAAACAAGCTATCAATTTCACGGTAAATTAAGGACTGTCTCATAAGCATTTCTCTTCGGAAATCAATATATCACCATCAGCATTATCTATTCCACTTGGACATCCTCATCCATTCCCAAATTTTCCTCATATGAAACAATAAGAGTTTCCAGCCCCTCGAACTTGAACTTGGATCCAAGACTGTAGACACTAAAAAAAAAAAACAAGGGGAATGTCCTTATAATTATTTGAGGGATTTCGCCTTCATGGTCAGTACTGCTTCGTAGAAGAAGGGATCGCTCCCTTGTTTGCTAATTTAATCGACATCTTGCATTGGGAACAAAAAAGCTTGGTTGCTCAAGGGATGTCAAAACATTTGTGGCGTGGTTAAAAACATGCAAAAAGTCCCTGAAGGCTTCAACAACCCTCCAATCTTGTTGTGTCAACAACGCGAGACCGACACTTGCACTATAAGTGGTGGAGTGGACTGCCAGTGCACCCATCTCCTCTCATGCCTTCTTCAATATTTTGTACATTGAATTCCACCTCATCCTTATATGTAGAGGGAATTTCAGCTTGCCTTCTTGGTGTCGTATAGGAACTCCAACTCTTGATGGCTTAGTGGAGTTCATTTAACTTATTGAACCCACCCGCATACCTTGGCCGTGGAATCATAAACCAGTGGAGACCATCTTGCACAAGCAAGGTAGTGCAATACACGCACCGCATGTGGAAGAAAATCCAATTGCAAACGCGAATTAGCTGTTGCACCATACTCTGGATCCGGGTGGTGTTCACGTTAGCATTATCTAGCATGATGCCGTAATTTTTACCAAAGATGCTAAACTCATTGATAGCTCTTATTATTTCGGCCACCACATTTGGGGAATCAGGCAAAGATATTAACTAACAGCTCATTGAATCAATGGTCAGCAGCGACACAAATAGCTGTGATTTTTAGGGCTAGTCCATCAATCAAAAGTTGAGATTCGAAAGTTACCCATCAACAAAGATGCATCAACACTGCCCTCTTCTCTTTGTATGGCGATTTGCAGTTTCTGGTGTTTGTTGTCCCCAAAACGGGCTTGAATGGAGTTTATAAGGCTGTCTACACATATTGGACAAAGCAGGGACCTTTTGCAAAGCCAAGGGATTGCTCAGCAGCGAGACAATAATATGTCAACTTCCGCTGATTTCTCACCTCCTCGTACTTGAATAAGCTTTCGGCATGCGGCGTTGTATAAGAAGAGCTACCCTCATCCCTGGCCAACTCTTCCTCATGTCGAAGTTGGTGCCTCCGACTCGTCCCACTTGATAATATTACTCTTAAAATTCTGCCATGCATCGTGCAAATAGTCATCTGGACACCATCAGCGTCAATCTCGAGCGGTAATGTCTTCCAGGCATCGGACGTTCTTCTTCGCAAAGCCGGGCGCTGCAGTTGCTCAGGGTTTCTTCATGGGTAAGGATATCCTCCTCGGAAGCATCTTGGCTGGGACTGGCTTCAAACATTCACCCCACAATGTCTATATAAAGGATTACGTATGGGCAATATTGAAATAGTCCTTTCCAGTAGTATCGCTGCTGTCTTTTGATCCAATACGTAAGAATCAATAGAAAAGGCAAATCCCTTATGATACACCAGACCCGGCTCGCTTATTGATAGAGTAAATAGATCTGCCAGGTTGGTTGAACTTGAGAATACACTCATTGCAATTGATTAAGTAAACAAAATGGAATTGAATTCGGTTTTTCAATCAATTCATGGGGTCTTAACAAGGGAATTCCTATCAATAATAAAGAAAAGAAGAGTAAAGCTGCTTCCAAACACATCATAAGCTAAACCCATGCTGACGAATAACCAATCCGGTTATGATGATCGTACGCAATAATTGTTTTTCGACATTTACAACTTGATTAAATCGTTGAGGACAAAGAATAGCGAGAAAGGGAGCCCTTGAAGAGGTTCTAATGGAAGTGGAAAAAAATCAGCAGTATAGCGAGAAAGGGAGCCTCCTGCATAACTTGTCATAGCAAGCAGCACAGGCAGCTAAATCTTATGAATTGATTTTTGATCCAACATTGAAGGCTACGCCATCTTACGATGTTTACTTTGCGAAAACCGACAATTTTGCGGCGAGGACAAATTCACCCTGAAATAATCGCCTTTTGATTCATGAGCGATTCAATTCAATTAACAAGAGTTGACTGCTGCAACATACATAAGGAAGGTTAAACAATGCACTCAATGATCCCATCAAAAAGGGGGGCTCGGTCAGTCATACATCCCTTCCTGTTCCCAGATGTCCACCAGAAAATCAACCATTTCCTGGAATAAAGCGTACATAGAAAGTAAGACAAAAAGAACCAAAAAAATATAAATCAGAGAGGAACTCAAAAACTTTCATGGATGGTGACTTACTGCGAGAGGGACACGGAGAGCAAACCGCTTATTGCTTCCGAGTAAACTTTCGTACGTCGTATTCCAACTGCAAAGCCAGGAGTAAATCATCATTCATCGACACATTATCAGAAAAAGTTCAAAGCTGGCTATGCGAAGGTAATGCTAGAAAGACAGGCAAAGCCAAATGATTTGTCTGGGTTCGACCAAAAAAAAAAAATGATTTGTCTGGGACATAGAAGGCCCAAGAATAGGCGTAACTGCCGAATCTCCGGCTAATCGACCATGAAGAGCACAACAGTGGAAAGAATTAAACTTAGTGAAACAGGAAGGAATTTCTCAGTACTGTCTATGGGCGCATTCATGTGGGATGGAGAAAAGATTCTAAGAGTTGACATAGGAAATACATGCTTCTGTGATAAGGTTTGTGGGGATGTTATGCTTTTCACTAACGGTGAAGTATTTATTGATAGTTAATATTTTATCTATAAACATGCATAAATGCATAATTCACATGCAGTAGTAGAATTGACAAACAGTGCAACTAGAAGAAGTGTTGGGTAAAGTTTTGAAATACAGGTGCTTCGCTTAAGTCAGATGAATGTTCTTTGTATACCTCCATATTGTTGATAAAAGCCAAAGGAAGAAAAGTGTTTATTTGAGCTTCAAACTGGCAATATGCTTGGGTTGGAAATCTCCGCAGAACCACTTGCACTTGCAGAGTGGTTCCTCACAACGGTTATTCCATGATGTTGATCGAGATAAAGGAGGGAGATTTGGAACCTGTCTGTCCCGTCCCCATTATCTCATTTTGTTTTTTAATGAATCTTGTTCAACTTGCTGTTGACATGGAAAGGAAACTCCACAAAAGATTAACTCATCAAAACTACAAGTAGGAGTTGCTCTTTGCCCTCCTCTCTTAGTCCCAACGACATCACGTGCTTTTGGTTGTTTAGTGGACTTCATTTATATTATGTAAAAGATAATGGAATTCCTCTTTCAAGTGCGACAACTAGGATACTTATGCTGTTAATTCCTGAAACAACAATCCCAACAATCATAATGTCATTGTTACCAAAAACTAAAACAACCACAGTCAGAAAATCCAAGCCAAAGCAAAAAAGTCATTGCCCAAAGCATAGTTGCTTTCGGCACGCGGGTGCGCGCGGTCAGATACGTGTATATGTCAATAAGTACGAAGAAATACTTCGACTTAATTCACCCGCTTCCGGGTACACTGTTGGTAATATGACGGGTAACGGGACAAGTCTTTGACAGATCTGTTACCATAGCATCTTTGAAAATTAGAACCCCACCGAATGTAAGGTGGAATTGTACAAGAGTGCGATGCCCCACGCGCAATGGCAGTGAGCGATGCCAGCGTGCGAGCGGACACGGTGTTTTCAGCTAAATGATGATTGTTTCGATCATCTTTATCTAAATTTAAATCAAACCCCTACATTTATCTAAATCGCATACTTGGATGAGAATTTCGTATCTTTTAAATTTCATCCCCATTTCTATCGAAGACATCACCTGCATTTTTTTGAAAAGCTTTTATCTCCCTCTAACCAAGCATTTTCATCGAAATTTCCCGCGCGCGCCCGAGACGGATGACTCCGTTTGCCGAGTTCGAGTCGAAAACGCGATTTGTCCACCTCGATGCGAGCTCGAGATAGGTTGCTTTTGCGGCGGATCAAACGTTGGCGATGGCCCGAAGAAGAAAATCTCTCAATGAGTAGGCAGTTCGTAATCTGTCTTAGATAAGCAGTGTTGTGTTTTGCAGAGTGGAATGTAATAAAATTGAAAAAGAGAATGGAATGAAATGGAAGGGAACGGATGATTCCAATATCTTGTTTGGTGAATTGATGGGAATGGATGAAATGAAAGGGGAATTATTGTGTTTGGTTGTAAGAAAAAATGTTGTAGGAATAGAATTCAATAAGAATTTTTCAATCATAGCAAAAGGATTGAATTCTTAAATATAAATTAGAATTCACGGTTATTGAGTAATAATTGTATTATTCATTACTCATAATTTATTGACAATAAATTATCACAAATAATTGAAAAGTAGAACTATTGATACTTAAATTATAATCGCTGGTTATTCAATATTAATCATATTATCCATCACTCATATTGAATTAGATATTGTTAACTATTTACTATAGTTGATTAGTATAATAATTCAGTCAGAATTCTTAATTAGTTAGTACGAATGGTATCATTCTCCGTTATAATCTATTGAAAATAACTTATATTTGATAAGAAAATATTCATTATATTCGTAAGCTATTAAGTTATATCTGAAACATCTTTTTAATGTTTTGTTGTCAAGATGCACAAATCTAACTGATGATGCCGACTATAATTAATTCATTTACTAATCGTTATGGTGATTTACTGATTTTATTAATTTCAGTGGGTGGGGATGGAATCCCCGTTCCTTGGGTTGCACCCTTGAATGGCAATTCCAAAACTAAAAAGGAATGCTCGTTCCATTTAAGATGGTGATTATTCCACCTTCTAAAGTGTCCACCAAACATTAAATTGGGAATAATGGTCATTCCATTCCTTTTGATTTCATTAAACCAAACACAGCACAAAAATTTATGTTGTTTACGTGCGTTTCTAAGATCATATAATATCCACGCTACAATATTTATATTGTGCTTGTGATTTTTTGTATTTTTATACTAATTAGTTGATTTGTCATTTGATTATTTGATTCTACCGTATCTTTTGCAACTAATGATACCTTAAGATAATCATGTACTTAATGCTAAAAGGTTTCATGTTCCGTTTTAATTATACAATACCCGCGCTAAAATTTGTATGAAAATCCTTTGAACATGGTGTTGGGAAAATATCAACGTGCATCGGGAAGAACAGTGAAGTCAGACTTTGAGGCGTGATATCACTTTCTTTAAGGAATTATTTGCCCCACGAAGTTGCTAATGGTCACCGGCAAATTTCCTCCAGGATACAACAAAGTCTCGATTGAGATTACCGAATAGCAATTTCAGTATGTCTCCAGAGTCTCTCTAGGGAAAATAATTAGAAGGATGGCTGTATATCTCTTGGAAGAAATGGAAAAAATGTTGTTCTTTTTAATGAACAAAAACGTTGAAATATTTATACGTTGAACAAACACAACCTTTCGAATGTAAAGAAATTATGTCCGAACAGACACAACCTTCCAAAGGTTGTAAGAGAGCCTAATTACCATTAGGCAGAAAATAAAAATTCGAAATTAAATTATTAAAAAATAACCGCCACTCTTTTGCGAACGGTCACATTGTTTCAATATGACAAAACAGTTATTTTGTAATAATAAATTCGAAATTTAATAAATAAATAAAAATGATCGTTGATTAGTACCAAATCTCGTCCACGCACTCACATCCTTTCGATGTGGGACAAGGCACCTCATTGTTTGTTTTACAAACAAACTACCAACAATCCCCCACTTTGTTTGTAAAACAAAATTGAAATAAAACGTTAAAAATATGCAGCCAAAATTTCTTTGAGATTAATATACATACATAAAGGTCTCTTTCGAGTTAAACCTTTACTTAGTGCAAGTATCTCAAAACTCTATCAAAGTGACAAGTAGCTCGGCTTTAAACTTGTACTTTTAAATAATAGAATCGGATATACCACACATATAATAACCTCTTGTTTCAGTGAGAAGTTCTATATTACTCAGCACTATTATGGCCCTGTGCTAGTAACTGTTTCATGAGCTCTCTAGAAAGCAATCCCAACTTTCGTAAGAAGCGGCACCACTTCTAAGCTCATATAGGTGAAGTATCTTTCATGTGTTTATGTTACTAATAACACGTTTGAACCATACTTCATTAAGAATTTAATTCAACCTACAAACGTAACAGACGATATTGATTTCTCATGTCAGGGCTCATGTCAGTATCAAACAATCACTGCAGTAACTTGTTTTTACCCATTAAACCTTATAACTAGTAATGTTCTAGAAAAAGGTCGGGTTACCATTACTAGTGATTTTAATTAAAGGGTTTCAGCCCCTTTTCTTGTGAGGTCATATTTACCATGTCTCTTGGTAAAGCCTTTGTCAAGGAATTAGCTAGATTATTGCTTGACCTCACGTAGACAATTGTTATGGTACCATCCTGAATCAATTGTCTCACGTACTCATGTCTTAGACTAATATGTCTAGACTTACCATTGTAAATGCTACTATAAGCTCTTGCCAAAGTAGCCTGACTATCACAATGGATGGAAATAGGAGGCATATGCTAGGCCATAATTTGATATCCAACAACAAATTCCTAATCCATTCAGCCTCTTTCCCAGTTGCTGCTAAAGCAACATATTCGGATTCCATTGTCGAGTGAGTTACGCATGTCTGTTTCTTGCTAGCCCAAGATACAGCACACCCACCTAAGGTGAAAATCCATCCAGAAGTAGAATGTTTATCACCTACACTTGTAATACAACTAGCATCGGTGTATCCTTCTAGTACAGCCGGATAATTATTATAGAACAATCCCAAATTTTTAGTTCTCTTGAGATAACAAAAAATTCTGGCAATAGCCTTCCAATGTTCTATATTTGGATTACTAGTATATCTACTCAACTTACACACCGAATAAGCAATATCAGGTCTAGTACAATGCATCGCATACATTAAAGACCCTGTAGCACTCGCATATTCAAGTTGTGCTACCGCTCTACCAGTATTATAATTCAATTTAATACTGCTATCAAAAGGAGTACTCATTTCTTTGAAATCAAGATGACTAAATTTATATTTTGTCAACGTAATCACATTGGCTCAAAGAATAACCCCCACTATGTCTTTTAACTTCAATACCTAAGATAGTACCTACTTTACCCAAATCTTTCATTGTGAACATGGGAGTTAGATACATGTTAGTCTCAATAGCTCCCGTCATAGTGGTTCCAAAAATAAGCATATCATCAATCAGAAAACCACTAACCTTCCACCTAGGCTCAACACTTCTAACTCGATCTCAAGAAGTGCTTTCATCTACTTGGAGACATCTGGCTTCGAAAAACTGGCAAATGAACTAACAGCGATACTCCTCATGGTTTCCTTCTCTGACCAGATGGAGCATAACAAACGCA